GTACAAAGTGATGTCATTGAGTTTTTAGCACATCTGGTAATTACAACCCAGGCTCATTCTAAAAAACGTAGCCCCGAGGACGTTTCTGGAAACCGCGTAAAACGTCCGGGAGGTACGTATTTTTGCAGTTTTTGTTTTTGTGAATACCCGAGAGGCCACTGTTTGCGCTTTTTCGCATCTCAAATGCCTCTCCTGAGTGCCCTTTGCGCCCGCCCTGTTCTGGCGTGAACACACCAGAGGCTGCTGTCGAACGCCCGTCTGTCTGACTGGCTGAATCATTGACTGGCCAATCGGCTGACCCACCCTCCTCCTTCCCTAAACCCAACTTATTTTACCGATTGATCCACCGCTCACCCACTTACTTTCCTAAACCCAACCAACAATTTACAAAAGCCGTCCAGAAAAAGAAAAGCCCTCGTCGGATTTTTTCACGCGTTTTCAGATTTTACCACATTCTCACCCTGTTATGAACTTGTTCACTTTTCTTTTGGATTCTGTGTTTATCTTTACTGATTTCTGGAAACGCTCTTCCCCGGAATGTTGTCGTGGTCAGCCTCTCTGCGTCTCAAGTCCGCCGGCGTACACGATAAGCTAACTGGACGAACTGGTTACGGCGGGAAAGCCCCCCACACGAAGGTAAGTGTTAGCGCCAAAAAGACCAGCGTCACGCGGCCGAATGAGCCTGGATTGGTTAATTAATTAATGAGATCTGACACTTAAATCGAACCAATCAGCGCGCTCTATTGTGAACGAGATGCAACTTCATTAATATGCATGATATTGCTTCGAAGGCTCCTTTTACCTGTTATAGTGTTCAGAGAGACGCCACGTTGTGTTGCCAACCGCAATTCAAACAAGTAGAAGAACGAGAAGAATTGTTTGGAGACATGGGTCATCAGTCTTTTCATCAAAAGGTTTTGTTTCTATTTCCCCGCGATGAGAGCACAGCTTGCGTATAGATCCACATGTCTGGGCTACAGTAGTCTGCTAAAACGTGATAGAAATATGTTTGTAAGGAACATTTTTTACCCAAGAGCTTTTTGAATCTGGAAATGGTAAAATCTGGATTTGCCGCTTGTCTTCTTTAAAAAAAAAAAAAGATGCTGTTCCAGTTGGTGTTGACTGTCCTGTCTCTACAGAGTTAGTGAGCGATCAATGTTCCTGTTTATGCTTATTCAGAGGGCAAAGTTAGTTTGTATTGTCAGCAGTACACACTTTCAGTTTTTAAAGATAAACTTTAGTGAAAATTATTTAGTTACTAAGTTTACGGTAATATCAATTTAATATTATGGATGAAAAATCCTCCACTTCCAAACAGCTTTCAGATCTGCTGATGCTGCTCTACGAATCACTGTCTATCTCCCCTGTATCTGTAATTGTGTCGTCCTTGCCTATTTCACCACTCGCCACTGTATCTGTAACATAAAGTAAAATGTATTTCAGATTCAAAAATGTAGACAGTACTCTCTAGTGGATTTGTCATATGAAAAGAGCAATGAAATGTACCTGGAGCAAAGTATTTTATGTTTAGCAAAAATGTAGGCTGGAGCACACATTGTCAGTGAGCCTGGGTTGTTAATTTGATTTTGTTTTGTTGTTGTTTGTTTGTTATGTTTTTTTAATTTCAAAATAAATTAAACAAATTGCTTACGTTGCATTATATTAATCACAAAAGATCACGTGTTTAGTTAAAAACTTCTGATTTGATGTTTTGCTAAAAAAAAAAAACTCATAATCATTAGTGAGAGTTAATTAAGAGCAAGTAAAAATGTTTGATCAAATTATCCATGTCAAAATCTGTGGCTTGTTTTATGAAAATATTCAACTATTTCTTAAAGAAAGAGCTCACTCAAAACTGAAAGTACTGAAATTGCTGTTTCAAGCCTGAGAAATGTTATTGTTAATGAAAAAAGAAAAAGAATTTATAAAAAGTTGTCATCCACTTACTTAAAACACTCCTATAATATATTCTTTTTGTTTCAGGGAAGAAATAAACTCAGGTTTGAAACATCATGTGAATGATTACATGATGATATTTGATATGTCACTACACAGTGCTTGTGAATGGTCACAATATACTGACTGAGGAGAAGAAACTGTTAAATACAGTTATTTTTGTTTTATGTGCTCACAAAAGTACTCTTGTAGCTTATATATAATATTCTGATTGAACCACTCACAACATATAGTCTGTTTTGAGGATTTTTTGCTATTCTTGGACATTTAAAAAGTCTTTCTGTATATGGAGGATAATTGAGCTCCCAGATTTTATCTAAAATATCTTAATTTATGTTCTGAAGACAAGCAAAGGTCTCACTGATTTGGAACAACAAGATGTTGAGTAATTAATAACATTATTTACCATTTTTGGATGAACTAACACGTTTTAAGTGCTTGATTTTCCCTATAAAAAAGTTTTTTTCTAACAAGTAATGACTACATACTCAGTTTGAGTTCAATATTTACCACAAATATTTATGATTCCTCTTTAAATGACTGCGCAATTTCTACATGATATCATTTTAAATAAAGCAAGTGCAGTCACGATCCTCGTCCCAGCAGAGGAATTCCTGACACAGCAGCACCTCAAACAGCAGCCTCTTAATTAGAACAAATGCCTTCCCTCCAGGCTCTCTTGCCATAACAGTGGGACTGTAATTAAACTCAATTAGCTCATCAGCTTTAGACTGGGTTAAGTGATGTTTACTCAACATGGGCTAATTGTACGGCATATGGTAAGCCCGGTAGATGGAAGTGCAGAGGTGGGTTTGTTGTTGGATAGTTTGGGATAGGTTTAGGGATTAGCCAGGCTGATGGTGGTGGTCCTGATGGCCCTGAGGGGACGCTGGGCTGGACGATTCTCAATCCGCCCTGTGTAATAAACAGAGCGCTTCAGGCTCTGGTGCTTTTGAAAGCTCTCTGCAAACCCAAGTAAAATAGTAAATCGTTAAAACAAAAATAACTGCTTGCATATAGGTCTAATATAATATTTATAAAGTATACTATATTTATTTGTAGGTATTTTGTAATTATTTGTAACTGTATTAATCTACTAAAGGTATGTTAAATATGTATTTAAATGTAGCTGTGTTTAATTATATGTATTTCTGATGTGTAAATGTTCTTCAATATTATTATTATTATAATTCATGTAATAATAGGAAATAAAAGTAACTTAAATACGTGTATTTCTGTGTTCCCTGTGTTTATACATACATAAACAGATGCACGCATGCTCATGCACACATCTACTTAAAAGGTGTATATCAACATTGCATGCTATAAAATGGGTAAACTTTTAATTATATAAATGTTTATTTTCAATTGTATTTCATTGTAATTATATCTAAATACTTATGTTATGTATTTTCTAATACATATGTATAACATTTATATAAACCTCAAAATAAAAATGTAAGTGTTAGGATGAATAGAAAAAAAACTCTATAATGGCATCAATAGTAAACATCAGAATATTAAGGAATGTATTTCAGTACCAGTGTGTTTGGTTAAGAGTGGTAGGGTTGCTCTTTTCCATTCACTGCAGGAGCAGTGACAGCTGTGGGCCAACAGTGTGCTTGAGCTCCCCTGCAGCTGTCCCAAGTGCTGGAGCTGGAATGACTCCATGATCCTCCTCTAACTGGACAGATCCGGACCAGCACAGCACCTGCTCCTCCTGGCAGAGCAATCGCGGGGCAACCATGCTATGGGCTTATTGTGCAATAATTCCACAGGACAGCCTGGTTGTGGCGTCCTGTTTATATAAGATGTTATATCTGATAAATGGACTTTCTAACTTTGACACAATTAAAAATATAGAATTAATTCAATTTACAACATTTACGCATGGCTTCTTTTTTTTATGTGTTAAAAGTTAATAATTTAAGCATAGCTCAATGTTAAGGATTTTTACTGCTGGTCAAATCAGGCCAATACAGACTACTACTACTACTACAACAACAACTACTACTACTACTACTACTACTACTACTACTATAACAACAACTACTACTACTATAACTACTACTACTACTACTATAACAACTACTATTACTACAACTACTACTATAACAACTACTACTACTACAACTACTACTATAACAACTACTACTACTACAACTACTACTATAACAACTACTACTACTACTACTACTACTACTACAACAACAACTACTACTACTATAACTACTACTACTACTACTATAACAACTACTATTACTACAACTACTACTATAACAACTACTACTACTACTATAACTACTACTACTACTACTATAACAACTACTACTACTACAACTACTACTATAACAACTACTACTACTACAACTACTACTATAACAACTACTACTACTACAACTACTACTATAACAACAACAACTACTACTACTACTACTACTACTACTACTACTACTACTACTACTAAAACTATAACAACTACTACTACTACTACAAAAACAACAACTGCTACAACAACTACTACTGCTACTACTACTACAACTACTACTAAGAATTATTTTCATTATTCTCTATTTTCACCAAGAAATACTCATCCCGAGGCCCCTAGAGACTCTGCAGCGCCATTAATGCGATCCAAGGCCTGTGAAGAGATGATCCCAAGGTATCCATAATGCTGGACTAGGCCGTATCCCGAGCTGAGGCTGTGGTGGTCATGGAGGAATGGAGTGCCTGAGACTGATTGCTGAAAAACAGTAAACGAGTTGATCCTGTGGGCCAGCCTGACCTCCCGCCCACGCCTACTCACATGCCCAACAGAGCCTGGTTTCTCTCAAGTATTTTTTTCTCTTTCACTTTGTCAACTGGTGAAGTTTTTATTTCCTCACCACTGTTGCCGCCACTGGCTTGCTAAGATCAAGATTTGTGGAGCTGCGCTTGGTGGAGTTCCTCAGTGTTTGAACTTTCAGCAGCGAAATTCAAACCACACTGAACTAAACTAAACTGAAATTCAATTCTTAAATCTGGACTTTACTAGAAATATGTTAAGCTGGTTTGACACAATCTACATTGTTAAAAGCGATGTGTAGCTGCCGTCAGAAGCAATGCTTATATATTACACTCTATAAACATAAACTTTACATTAAAAAGTCAATAAATAGTTAAAATGTTCAAATTAATCATTAGAATAAATAAGTAATGTATATTTGTTGTTAATGCATGTTAATTCATTTAAAGTTATTTAACTAAAACTATAAGGGGGAGGGGGGAACCTTTTCTTGTTATGTTTAGCTTGGGAATTATTTCATTGTTGCAATGAAGATATTCTTCCGATCCACTACAAGTAGTTCAGCCACAAGGTGCTGTGCTAAAACACGTTTTTAAGGATTCAAAAGTACAAAGAAGTTTGTTAAAGAGAAACTGCAACCCTTCAAGTTTATTCCTCTTGAGTTAGAGAGGCCAATGAGGTATGTGTCGTATGGTGTTAACGTATGTGAACATGTATGATTATGTGTCCGTATGTAATGTATAATTAGCCAATTAAGTGTATTTCGTTACATGTTGAATGTGCACTTTATCTTTTGGTTGTATGTATGTTGTTCATTACGTGCAACATCACCTTTAAAGGGTTAATTGAAGTTTATGTATTTCTTTTCGTAGTTCTGACGGCAATATTGGGACATAAAGGAGTGCAAGGCTAGAATGTACAAGACATACTACAGACTCGTGTCCGAATAAATGTCAGTTAAAATCAAGAACGACTTGAGCCTTTGTTTCATCTTGAGGGGAGTAACAGTCAGAACTCAGCCTGTTTCGCGCTGGAAGAGAGGAGAGCAGGAGAGGAGAGCAGAGCGGTGCCGGTCGCAGCAGCGGAGCTGTAAACGAGCAGCTCGTTAGGCGGTGACGTCGTTCTCAAGCATCAAAGGAAAAAAGGACTGCAAGCGCGCAAATCCCACATCAACGGCTGTCGGTGTATAAGAGTGCAGCGTGGTTAAGCTAAGAAGAAGTAACACATTTAAAACAAGTTAAATGTGAAGCAGATTAACCTTGTTAATTTAAAGGGACTTTATTAAGTGCTTACAGGGGTAAAGTGCAGTGGTAAAAAATTTGAGACTAAGCTGAAGTTATTGTTTGTTTAATATAAGGTGACTGTTAACTACAAGTATTTTATTATTCATTTAAGGATACATTAAGATATTTTAAAGGGGAAGTCATTACTTTTTCATTTTTTATATTTAGATTTTGTAACAAGTGAGAAAATTATTTATAATTTGGCTTATTAGGTGTTTATGACACACATTTAAGTTTATCTTTAAATAGTTGAGAAATATACTGCTATAAGCACATTAAAGACAGTGATATCATTTAGTTGAGTTAAAGTTATAAGTAACAAGTTTAAAGCACACTATAATAGTGGTATGGCAGATCAAGAAGACTGTGATATTGATGCTGTGGAGTTGCAGTTACAAGTCAGTCCTGAAGATGAAAATTGTGAGACAAGCGCACAAGAGCCAAGCACAAATGAAGCTGCTAAAGAAGAGAGCTTGAGGAAAAGCCAAAGAGTTAGGAAATTCACTGAAAAGGGTCAAGCACTTCACGATGAAAAGGTGAATAAGTTTCAAACTCACTTTAAGGCATGCTATGATGAATGGAAATCTGCTGCTAAACAAGCTAAAAAGGCACTTGAAAACCCTGTTAGTGTAACATTGCATGATCACATTGCCCACGTCCAATATGCCTCATCAGAAGTAAAACAAACCTATGATAAGCTGCGCAGTTATGTAACTCCTGATGGAGACACCCGTCGAAGAGTGGATACATGCGATGCTGTTTCTTAAAAGCTTATAAAACTAGCTGAAGATTGGCTTGTAGAAAGTGGAAGTGTAAAGGATGTAGCAAAGGGGTCACTACGCTGGAGTGAAGCTGGTTCAGTGTTCATCTCAGCAGCGTCTCAAAAATCTAAGAGTGCAAGAAGCACATATTCAAGTTCAAGCAGATTATCTGTAAAGAAACAGGAAGCAGCAGCTGAATTAGCTGCAACTGAAGCTGCTCTTAAAGTTATGGAGGAAATGGATCGTGAAAGAAACCAGCTTGAAAATCTAGAAGCAGAAAACCGGCAAAGGTTAGCAATACAAGAAGCAGAAAATGCTGAAAAGCTAAAAGCATTAGAACAGAAGCGAAGAGAGCTAGAACGTCTAGAAACTGTAAAGAAAATGAATGCTGCCAAGGCACGACTGAAAGTGTACGAGGAAGAAATTAATTCAGATGAAGAAATCTCAGACCTCCTACATGACAATGTTAAACAAAGGAAAGCTCCTCCTAAGCCAGGAAGTTTGCCTGAACCCCTGCTAACACCATCAAAACCTACTGTAAAACTGCATCAGTTTTCCGCTTCACCACAGACCACAAGGTGTCAACTTCCGAACAATGCTACACAAGAAGATAGCACTACTGCTCTGGCTAGAGCATTAGCAGAATCCATTAATATAAGCCGTCTACCAGTACCAGAGCCTGCCGTATTCAATGGAGACCCACTCAAGTACAAAGACTGGAAAATGTCTTTTCAGACACTGATAGATCGGAAAAACATCCCAGTAAATGAAAAGATTTACTATCTCCGCAAGTATGTGGGTGGACCAGCCAGAAGAGCTGTTGAGAGTTACTTTCTGCTGGGCACAGATGAAGCATATTATGCAGCATGGGACACTCTTGAAGAAAGATATGGAGGTTCATTTGTGATCGCCAAAGCCTTCAGAGATAAGCTAAATTCATGGCCAAAAATCGGAACAAAAGACAGTTCTGAGTTACGAGAGTTTTCTGATTTTCTCAGAGGCTGTGAAGCTGCTATGCTACAAATTAAGAATCTTGATGTCTTAAATGATTGCAGTGAAAATCAGAAAATACTAAGTAAGCTTCCTGATTGGTTAACAGCAAGATGGAATAGAAAAGTGATTGAGATTGAAGAGCAGCACGGTTCCTTTCCAACATTTAGTAACTTTGTGGACTTTATCACAAGAGAAGCCAAGATTGCGTGCAACCCAGTAACTTCACTACATGCACTCAAGGGAAGTGACTTAGAAAAAGTTAAGCCTACAAAGACTCGAAGTATCGGAACTAAGGTGCTGGCAAGTGCTGCAGAGGAGAAACCAAATATACAGAAATGTGTTTTCTGTGACAGATTGTACCATAGCATTCACACATGTCGACAGTTTATGGACAAGTCAATAATGGAGCGAGTCAAGTTCGTGCAAACAAAGGGATTATGTTTTGGGTGCCTTAACCCTGGACACCATTCAAAGAAATGTGGAAAGAGAAGTGTTTGTGACACATGCAAAGGGAAACACCCAACCTGTTTACACGAGGAACGGGATAAACAAATCAGAAAGAATAAAGAAGGCATAAAAGACACAAAGGAAAGCAAACAAAGCAAAGAAATACCATGTGAGACAATATCACACCGTGTAGTTCAAAATAATAGTAGTAACCTCACATCTACAATCAGTCCAGTTTGGTTATCTACAACAAACAACCCAGAACATGAAATCCTGGTGTATGCTCTTCTAGATAGTCAGAGTGACACAACATTCATTTTACAAGAAAAAGCAGATGGTCTGGATGCTGACAAGAAGCATGTACAGTTAAAGCTTTCTACACTGTCAACCAGAGATTCAGTTATCCAAAGTGAAAGGCTGTCTGGGCTGCAAGTCAGAGGCTTCTATTCCTCAAAGAGAATTCTTCTTCCCGTAACATACACAAGAGAATTTATTCCTGCAAATCTAAATCACATCTCCACTCCTAAGACAGCAAGAGCATGGCCCCACTTAGAGCACCTTGCCGAAGAGATAGCCCCTCCTATAGAATGCGATGTTGGGTTACTCATAGGTTACAATTGCTCACAAGCGCTTTTACCTAGAGAAGTTGTGTCAGGAAAAGACAATGAGCCATTCGCTCAAAGAACAGACTTGGGTTGGACAATAGTCGGTGGAGCTGACCCTTGCGTTGACTATGGTGATGCTATGGGAAGCAGCCACAGGATTATTGTTAAGGAAGTGACACCCAAGTTGTCATCAGATCAGTTGCCAAATGAAGTCCATTACATTTGTCGCACACAAGTCAAAGAAATAATCACACCACCAGACGTGATTAAAGTTCTTGAATCTGATTTCAGTGAAAGAAAGGTGAAAGAGTCTCACTTCTCCCAAGAGGATCGGCGATTTTTGTCTATAATGGAAGAAGGAGTAAGGATAACAGCAGATGGACATTGTGAGCTACCATTGCCATTTAAAGAGGACAGGCCATGTCTGGCAAACAATAAAAGCTGTGCAGAACACCGACTCCAATGTCTTAAGAAAAGACTTGAAAGAGACAAACAATATTGCAACGACTATACAACATTCATGAACGAAACTATAGAGCGTGGAGATGCAAAAAGAGTTCCACTTGAAGAACTTGACAAAAGCTCTACCTGGTACATTCCGCATCATGGGGTGTACCACCCCCAAAAACCAGGGAAAATAAGAGTAGTGTTTGATTGTTCGGCCAAATTTAAAGGTGTGTCATTAAATGATCATCTGCTCACAGGGCCAGAGCTAACCAATACCTTGATAGGTGTCTTGTGTCGGTTTCGCAAGGGTCCAGTGGCTGTGATGTGTGACATAGAACGTATGTTTCACCAGTTTAGAGTCAGGGACGAAGATCAAGACTACCTTCGTTTCCTGTGGTGGGACAATGGAGATTTTCACTTAAGTCCATCAGTCTACCGAATGAGAGTTCATTTGTTCGGAGCTGCTTCGTCACCGGCTTGTGCAAACTTTGGTCTCAAGTACATTGCAGCACAAGGTCGAGGCCAGTTCAGTGAAGCAACCATAAGATTCATTGAAAGGAACTTTTATGTGGACGATGGCCTTATCAGTTTCCACTCCGAAGAAGAGGCTATTCGTTTAGTCCATGAAGCGAAAAAACTCTGCAGTACTGGAAAATTGCGACTGCATAAGTTTGTTTCTAACAGCCCACAAGTTCTTGAATCTCTCCCTAAAGAAGATTGTGTAGAGACAGTAAGAAACCAAGATCTAGCACTGGGCGAGCAACTGATTGAAAGAGCTCTAGGGGTTAAATGGAGTGTTGCTTCAGATCATTTCCAGTTTCGAGTAGTAGTGAGTGAGCGTCCATTCTCCAGACGAGGAGTCTTGTCAACCGTAGCTTCCATCTACGACCCACTTGGATTTGTGGCGCCTTTCGTTCTGCTTGGCAAGCAAATTCTACAGCAAATGTGTCGTGACAAGTCAGACTGGGACACACCACTCTCAAATGAGCTTCAGTCACGGTGGGAGTCCTGGCTTACAGATCTAAAGGACCTTGCGTATGTCAAGATTGATCGCTGCTATCTACCAGCAGATTTTCAAGAAGTTCTGAGATATGAACTCCACCATTTTTCAGACGCAAGTGTTGCAGGATATGGTGTCTGTACGTATCTAAGAGCAGTCAGTAGATCAGGACGAATCCACTGTTCACTTGTCATTGCAAAGTCCAGAGTAGCACCCACCAAGGTAACTACTGTACCAAGATTGGAGCTGTCCGCAGCAGTAGTAGCGGTGCGCATAAGTGACATGCTCAAAGGAGAACTAGAGTTGGAAAATGTTCAAGAGTTCTTCTGGACAGACTCTCAGGTTGTCCTGGGATATATAAACAATGAAGCGAGGCGTTTTCATGTTTTCGTGGCAAATCGTATCCAACGAATCAAGGAAAGTACTAAACCAACACAGTGGAAGTATGTTGCATCAGAAGATAACCCTGCTGACCATGCGTCTCGAGGTCTCAAATCTAAAGAACTCATTGCTTCCAACTGGTTTAGTGGCCCAAGTTTTCTTTGGGAAGATTCACTTCCCACTGGAGAGATTAAGGTGGGAGATCTTGACACAGATGACCCAGAGGTACGCAAAGTTCTTGTACACCACACCTTGACAACAGAGAATTCTCTGGCAGAACGTTTCAGCAAATTCTCCAGCTGGACAAAATTAGTTAAAGCTATTGCAAGACTAATCAGATTTGTAAAGGAGTTGAAGGGCTCAATAAAGCGAACCAATAAAGCTACAAGTCTCGAAGAAAGGCAAGAAGCTGAACATGTAGTTATTGCCATTGAACAAGGATTAGTCTTTTCCAAAGAAATCAAGGAACTCCACTCCAAGAAGGAGTTAATTACTAAAGACAGAGCAAGCAGATTGTATCGACTCAATCCCTTCTTGGACCACAAGGGCATCCTTAGAGTGGGAGGAAGATTAGAGCATGCAACTTTACACCCAAATGTCAAGCATCCATTTATCTTACCAAAAACCAGTCATATCACCAAGTTACTGATTGATCACTATCATCAGAAAGTGAAACATCAAGGGCGTGGCATGACCACAAACGAACTGAGATCTAATGGCATATGGATTCTCGGCTGTAGTCAAGCAGTATCGTCATTTATCTACAACTGTGTCAAATGCAGAAAATTCAGGCGGCAAACAGAAGAACAAAAGATGGCAAACCTGCCTAGCGAAAGAGTGGAGACAACTCCTCCCTTCACATATTGTGGGATGGATTGTTTCGGTCCATTTTACATCAAGGAGGGAAGAAGGGAACTAAAGCGCTATGGGCTGCTGTTCACATGTTTGTGCTCTCGTGCAGTACATATAGAGTTACTTGATGATTTATCAACTGACGCATTCCTTAACTCACTTCGGGCATTCATTGCTTTACGTGGAAACGTTCGTCAGCTGCAATCAGACCAAGGCACCAATTTTGTTGGAGCAAGGCGTGAGTTTTTGGAAGCAGTGAAAGAAATGGACCAGGAATGTCTGAAACAACTAGGCTGTGAGTTTGTCATGAACCCACCCTCTGCCAGCCATATGGGTGGAGCCTGGGAACGGCAAATCCGAACAATCAGAAGTGTGTTGAATTCCATCCTGGATCAATCATCTAGAACACTGGACAGTTCATCCTTAAGAACATATCTATATGAAGTGATGGCAATCGTAAATAGCCGACCCATAACAACACAATTACTCAACGATCCTACTGGACCACAACCACTTACACCCAACCTTCTTTTGACAATGAAATCGTCAATAATACTGCCTCCACCAGGAGATTTTGTAAAGGAAGACCTTTACCTTCGTAAAAGATGGCGTCGAGTGCAGTATCTGGCTAACGAATTTTGGCAAAGATGGAAAAAGGAATATTTGTTGAGCCTACAACAAAGACAAAAGTGGCACAAAACGAACAGAAATGCAAAAGTCAATGACATCGTCATAATACAAGATGATACAACGCAGAGAAATGATTGGAAGCTGGCAAAAGTTACTGCTGTGTACCCAAGTCAAGATGGATGCATACGAAAAGTGCAGCTACTAATCAGTGACTCCACATTAGATAACCATGGAAGGAAACTGAGTAAACCTGTCCATCTAGTAAGGCCAATCCACAAGACTGTCACATTACTGGAAGCTGATTAGCACAGTTCACATTTCATTCTGGAAATCACAAGTGATTGGTGGGAGTGTAGCTGCCGTCAGAAGCAATGCTTATATATTACACTCTATAAACATAAACTTTACATTAAAAAGTCAATAAATAGTTAAAATGTTCAAATTAATCATTAGAATAAATAAGTAATGTATATTTGTTGTTAATGCATGTTAATTCATTTAAAGTTATTTAACTAAAACTATAAGGGGGAGGGGGGAACCTTTTCTTGTTATGTTTAGCTTGGGAATTATTTCATTGTTGCAATGAAGATATTCTTCCGATCCACTACAAGTAGTTCAGCCACAAGGTGCTGTGCTAAAACACGTTTTTAAGGATTCAAAAGTACAAAGAAGTTTGTTAAAGAGAAACTGCAACCCTTCAAGTTTATTCCTCTTGAGTTAGAGAGGCCAATGAGGTATGTGTCGTATGGTGTTAACGTATGTGAACATGTATGATTATGTGTCCGTATGTAATGTATAATTAGCCAATTAAGTGTATTTCGTTACATGTTGAATGTGCACTTTATCTTTTGGTTGTATGTATGTTGTTCATTACGTGCAACATCACCTTTAAAGGGTTAATTGAAGTTTATGTATTTCTTTTCGTAGTTCTGACGGCAATATTGGGACATAAAGGAGTGCAAGGCTAGAATGTACAAGACATACTACAGACTCGTGTCCGAATAAATGTCAGTTAAAATCAAGAACGACTTGAGCCTTTGTTTCATCTTGAGGGGAGTAACACGATGTATAAATAAACATGAAATAAATTGAAAACTATATTACTACTACTACTACTACTACACTACTATTACAAAAAAGACAATAACTACAACAACAACAACAGCTACAACAAAAACAACAACTACTACTAATACTATACTACTACTACAAAAACAACAACTACTACTGCTACTACAACTACAACAACTACTACTATACTACTACTACAAAAACAACAACTACTACTAATACTACACTACTACTACAAAAACAACAACTACTACTGCTACTACAACTACAACAACTACTACTATACTACTACTACTACAAAAACAACAACAACTACAACAACAACAACAACTACTACTACTAATACTACTACTACAACAAAATAAATGCAGAAGCAAAAAAATAAACAACCCAGGCTCATTCTGAAAACATATACCTGCGGACGTTTCTGGAGACCAAGAATTATGTAGTTGGAGGTACATATGGCTGCATTTTATTTTTTTAAGCAAACGCTACGGGGCGGTGTGACACCGTTCCCTTCTGCGCTTGCCGGCTGACCGCTTACCTCCGTGTGGAGGGCTCTCCAGCTGCAACTAGTTTGTCCAGTTAGCTCGTCGTGTACGTTGGCGGACTTGAGACGCAGAGAGGAGCTGACAACGACGACCGGGTTCAGAAAAGAATCCAAAAAATAAAGTGAACACGTAAATTACAGGCTGAGAATGTGGTCAAATCTGAAAATGTGGAAAAAATCAAACGAGGGCATTTCTTTTTCTGGAAGGCTTTTTTTGGTAAATTGTTGGTTGGGTTTAGGGAAGTAAGCGGGGGGATGGGTCAATCTGTAAAACTGCTTGAGTTTAGGGAAGGAGGAGGAGGGTAGGTCGACTGTAAGGTCGCCTATACAATCATTCAGCCAGTCGGATGGACGGTCATTTGACAGCGGCCTCTTGTGGGTTTACGCAAGAACGGCGCGAACGGCACTCGCGAGAATCGTTCGACATGCGAAAAATCGAGCACAGTGGCCTCACAAAACCCACAGTGGATTCACAAAAACAAAAGCTGCACAAATATGTACCAGAAATGTCCACGGGACTACGTTTTTAGAATGAACCTGGGTTGAAAATTTACCATGTTACTTTCTAATCAATCATGCCACGTACATTTACTAGTAGCTAATTGCCAACACTGAAAACAAGTGAAAAGTCAATAATAAAAAAAAAGATACTAAAAAAAAAAAACTGAACAAAAATGTGCTTAACAATCTTCTGCTCTAGTTCTAAAATTGTTGTATTGTTTTGTTGATGAATGTAAATTAAGATGTTAGGATTATCAGGCTACAGTCACTTTAAGAAGTTTCTTCCATGTCTGTTTACTTTCACTTTAGATGTAAACGGCTGTGTTTTAAATACTGGTATTTGACATATATTTAGCCTAATGTAATCATTAAAGTGCAAGATCATGTAAAAGTGACCTCAGCGTTGACATGTTTTCTACCATAATTTCTGCTTACACAGACAGTTCTCCCAAAAATTAAATCAACAAATGTATTTAACATTTTGTTTCATTTTTCTGTTGAACACAAAAGAAAATATTTTTAGAAATGTTAGAAACCATAGTAGGAAATATATATATATATACTATGAAAGTCAATGGTTACAGATTTTCACCATTCATTAATTTTCCTTAAGCTTAGTCCCTTTATTAATCAGTGGAGTGAATCGCCAACTTATTCAGCATATGTTTTACACAGTGGATGCCCTTCCAGTTGCAACCCAGTACTAGGAAATACCCAAACACACTCATTCACACACAAAGATTATGGCCAATTTAGTTTATGCAATTCACCTATATCACATGTCTGTGGACTGTGGGCGAAACCAGAGCACCGAAGGAAACCTCTGCGAACATGAGGAGAACATACAAATTCCACACAGAAATGGCAACTGACCCAGCCAGGACTCAAATCTGCGACCTTCTTGCTGTGAAGTGCTAGCCACTCTTCATTTTCAACATTCTTTTAAATATCTTATTTTGTGTTCAACAGAGGAAAGAAACTCAAACTCAACTAAAGAGTAAGTAAATAATGTTAGAATTTGTATTTTTGTTTAATCTTTAAACAAAACAACTTGAAAAGCACAATTACTTTACATTAATAATATTAATAATAATGGCTTTAAACTAGCCACTGAAAACCAATGAATGAACAAAGTGGAAAAGTGGCAGGACGCACTTGACTGTGATGGACCGTAATATTGATACTTTTGATAGCGCTCCATCTGATTCCCTTTATCTGTGGTTGATCAATGTATAGTTCAAACAGCAAATCTGAGGGATTCTTGAGGCAGAGAAAAAGGCACAGTGTGATCGGAGAGAACAATAGGCTGGAATGCCCTCTGTGCTCCAGGATTTGCAACGTTCAGTATTTTTCTGTTTCTGTTAGTCAGCAAATGAATCATATTATAAATTCTGATGACTGCAGAATAACCAAACACTGTCTTTTTTCTCCTGCCTTTCTCAGAGGCCTGAGGGAATCAGCGTTGAAGAAAAGCATCTTTGGTCACTGAATTTAGTTTCCGTCACTTTCCTTGACCTGACTGAACTGCTTGATTCATCTCCACGTCTCATTATCTACCAAAAGAAGGGCGTTTTTTGGGGAGTAACTCAGCTGTTTATGTTGAGTCAGCAGAACAGACTGTAAAGCTTGTGGCCTTTAGGCTTGTGAAGGGGTTGACGAAGTAAAAGGTATAATCAATTCACTTACATCTAGCTCCAGAGCAGTGTTTCCTCATTCACTTTCTCCTCTTTTTTGTGTAAATCTTTTGTTCTTGTGCAGCCGATTCGAATGTTATCACTTAATGAATGGGCGTTATCAGTGGCTATCAGTTGGTAAATATGGGCCAGAAGGGGCCTTCAGCGCCTACTAGTAGGCTCAGAAGGCTGTTATTATTATCGATCTACATGGTTAATTAGCTATAGATCACGACTATTATTTTATTAACGTCCACCCTTACCCCAAACATCACAGTAACAAAAAAACTGATCTGAATCTGGAGTCTTCTATATTAGCCATGTGGCTGGATGATAACAGCCTTCTGAGCTAGTAGGTACAGAAGGCCCCTACTGGCCCATATCAGCTGATAATCACTGTTAATGCCCATTCAATTAAGTAATAACATTCTAAATGGGTGTCTTGGGGCCTCATGAAATCTTTTTTTTTTCCCAGAATTGTTTTTCTCTGGATTATTTTCTCTCATTAATAATTTTAAAGACTCAGTTTTAATGGTTAAAACAAACCTGAGTTGGTTTATCGAAATGTATGTACACTTCATAATTCAACAACAATTTATTTAAATGTAATCCTAATAAATGCTTTATGTTTTCTCAAAACAAAAACTAGAATAAACTTTTCGTAAAGATGCTGGCACAGCAGTATGTGCAGTATATTTCACATAAAACTCTAATATTTGAAGTGACAATTTTCTATTCACATAGAGAATACTTTTACTGGATGACCAACAGAGAATGTTTTAAGAACCAGAAAGTAATGCTTTAAAAATGTTAAAGGAGCCAATAATAATATTAATAATAATTATCACCCAATTTTGTGGAAAGTTAGTTTTGAAAGTAATGCATTACAATATTGAGTTACTCCAGAGCAATGCTTCCTGCTCATTCATCTTCCCTATTTTTCTTGTGTAGCTGTTTTGTTGTTTGCGCCCAATGAAATCTTATTTATTTTTTAATAAATACCAAATTTTTCTGGATAATTTTTTTCTTGTTTTTATTTTTTAAGCTAATTGTTTAAGATAAAAAGTCACACACATAACATTTTTAAAACGTAGCTCAATTAATATTACTTATTTTTTAAAGTAATGCATGACTTTACTTCATTTATTCATTCATTCATTCATTTTCTTTTCGGCTTAGTCTCTTTATCAATCCGGGGTCTCCACAACGGAATGAACTGCCAACTTATCCAGCACATTTTTTTTTTACGCAGCGGATGCCCTTCCAGCTGCAACCCATCTCTGGGTACATCCACACTCATACACTACGGACAATTTAGCCTACCCAATTCACCTGTACCGCATGTCTTTGGACTGTGACTGTGAGCACTTGGAGCAGCGGGAGGTCTGCGGGCCCGGAGGCGATGGATAATCTCCCACTGGAACCCTCAGACCTCCCCAAGTGCCCGCTGCAGTGCAGGGAACAGCTAAGGTGGTTTGCCCTAGCCTTAACGCGATCTTAGGGCTAGCCGCGATCTTAACTGCACAACAGACATGGGATCGCAATGACGAAATGAACTGTGCACGTGCTGCACGACTATGTTGCTCTTTCAGTGAAATTTGCAACTTTATATGCACCGCTCTGGAGGACCGGACCCAAAGAACGCCAGGCAAGGGAGAAGCCCAGCTTGACCGTCTGCTGCCGCATGTACACACTCTGGACTTGGAGATCGCTCTCGTTTGCTCGAAATCGCTGGATATCAGCAGGGGGAACCCTCATCGACTCTCTCAGAAGGCTGTAGAAGTCTCTGAAGCAAAAGGTTGCATCTTTTTGCTTTTCCTGTGCTTTTATGCTAAATTAATTGCAACAAGCATCAGGTGCGCAAGCTGACGCTGCCAATTCAATTGGCATTTCATTGGCTCGGTTACATACACTGTCAGACAATTGGCTTTCTGAACGAAATCCCCATACATGGATTACATCCACTCATAGCATTGAAGTTCCCCATCCGAAGGGGAACCACAAGTGAGCGCAAAACAGCTAAACAGAGAGTGACGAAAGAAGAATTAATGGGTCGTTTCCACTGATGGTGGTACGGTTCAGGTCGGTATGGGTCACCTTTACCAGGCTTGCGTTTTCACTACCAAGGGTACCCTTTTGGTGGGCGTGGTGTACGACAGAAAATTTCAGTCGACGTCACTCTCGCTCAAATAAATGTCAACAGTAAAGCCGTACAGGTCGTTTACAA